ATAAAACAGGTAGATTCTTCTATCTCACGCTAAATAAAACAGGTAGACTGTTCTATCTTACGCTAAATAAAACAGGTAGATTCTTCTATCTCACGCTTAATAAAACAGGTAGACTCTTCTATCTCACGCTAAATAAAACAGGTAGATTCTTCTATCTCACGCTAAATAAAACAAGTAGACTCTTCTATCTTATGCTAAATAAATCTCACGCTAAATAAAATCTCACGCTAAATAAAACAGGTAGACTCTTCTATCTCACGCTAAATAAAACAGGTAGATTCTTCTATCTCACGCTAAATAAAACAAGTAGACTCATCTATCTCACGCTAAATAAAACAAGTAGACTCTTCTATCTCACGCTAAATAAAATCTCACGCTAAATAAAACAAGTAGACTCATCTATCTCACGCTAAATAAAACAAGTAGACTCTTCTATCTCACGCTAAATAAAATCTCACGCTAAATAAAACAAGTAGACTCATCTATCTCACGCTAAATAAAACAAGTAGACTCTTCTATCTCACGCTAAATAAAATCTCACGCTAAATAAAACAAGTAGATTCATCTATCTCACGCTAAACAAAACAAGTAGACTCTTCTATCTCACGCTAAATAAAATCTCACGCTAAATAAAACAAGTAGACTCATCTATCTCACGCTAAACAAAACAAGTAGACTCTTCTATCTCACGCTAAATAAAATCTCACGCTAAATAAAACAAGTAGACTCATCTATCTCACGCTAAACAAAACAAGTAGACTCTTCTATCTCACGCTAAATAAAATCTCACGCTAAATAAAACAAGTAGACTCATCTATCTCACGCTAAACAAAACAAGTAGACTCTTCTATCTCACGCTAAATAAAATCTCACGCTAAATAAAACAAGTAGACTCATCTATCTCACGCTAAACAAAACAAGTAGACTCTTCTATCTCACGCTAAATAAAACAAGTAGATTTTTCTATCTCACGCTCAATAAAATCTCACGCTAAATAAAACAGGTAGATCAACGTACCAGGTCTAACTTTACCTCATGTTTAATAAAATAAAAAAGGCAAATTTAAGAAACAGGGTGCTTACCTTGGCCCCGACATTTTGATTTCCGTTGCTCATAAATTTCAGGATCGAATCGGAGCGTGTCTCCATCTCGTCCGCGCCCAAATGGTACCCAGAGGCATATGCCACTAGTGCCAGCACAAAACATAACCTGTTCAAAATGTATTCTAACTTTTTTAACGTTGCCATTAAAAGTGGTATTCAAAGACAAGGCTCATGATATGGTTTAATAAGCCTACGATGGTAATAATCAGGTATCCGTCAAAACCAAATTAAACTTTCAATACTTTTTGTCACGGCGCATTCACTTTCAAAAACCCAAACATCGCGGAGCATATATATATATATATATATATATATATATATATATATATATATATATATATATATATATATATATATATATATATATATATATATATATATATGTATATATAAATATAAATATATATATATATATATATATATATATATATATATATATATATATATATATATATATATATATATATATATATATGTATATATATATATATATATATATATATATATATATATATATATGTATATATATATATATATATATATATATATATATATATATATATATATATATATATATATATATATATATATATATATATATATATGTGTGTGTGTGTGTGTGTGTGTGTATGTGTGTGTGTGTTTAAGCGTGTGTATAGAATATCCACGCATACATAGGCAGTATTCAGATGATTATCTACATTTACATAAATCTATTATAGAAGTTCTTTTAAATATGCAGTCGCGAAAATCGTTAGTAAAAATAAATCAATGTGAGAAAATAAGCTGACATATTGTAGCACTATATAGCTAAATTTCTGACTTGATACTTTCTTGCTTCTACTGTTGCTAGTCAGAGTCTCTGAATCTATTATTTTAAGATTCAACATTTTTATACTCAGACAGATGTTGTAAACTTCTAATAAAACACTAAAAACAAAATATTGAAACAAAACATCAATTCGCTACTTCATCTTTAAAAGAATTGCCAACAAACTAGTGAAAAAAACAACTCACTGCTACAATTTTAAAACAATGAACAACAAACTACTGAAAAAAAGCTAACAAAACATCCACTTGCTACTACACCTATAAAACAATGACCAACAAACTATTGAAACAAAACATCAACTTGCTACTACACCTATAAAACAATGACCAACAAGCTACTGAAACAAAACATCAACTCACGTGAACATGTTATCTGTTATAGGATGTGAAGAAAACTGGATAACTTTTAGACTGGATCTATAGCGTTAGCTGTACAATAGTCTCGCACTTAACTCTTTTATAGCTGTCCCGGTATCTTTTAATCAAGATCCGGCTTTAAAACACAAACTATGATCTCCAGACTGTAGACATTTTAATTATTCTAACTCGCTGCAGCCGTCTTAATTAAGCTTTTTTTTAAAAAAAATAGGTTGTAAGTCCAAGTCTAAGAAAAAGTTAGAATTACATGTAGAGCCTAGATATTCACGAAGAATGCATGTAGATGGGCAAGTCAGCTCAGTTCAGATTCGTTCATTAAGGTTGTAGGAAAAAGTAAATTTATCATCTAACTTGAAAGTTGAAAAATAAAGCAACTACAAATTTACAAATTTTGTATCAAGTATACAAATATATTAACTTTGAATCGGAATAGTAATGTTCACATTTTAAAAGGCTTTGCTATTTCATTATGTTAATTTTGTGTCTCATTGCGTTAGAAAGTTCGAATATGTCCTCAAATTTCATTACCTGCAATAAGTCATTTTCAACAGAAAGTAATGCACGGGATGATAGTCTCGCTTCTCCCATTGTTAATTCCAGATCAATTTTAATGCGTCTCAGTTCACGTTTAAATATTTTACCACTTAACAGCTTTTATGTTTATCCCTTAACTATTTAGTGTGAAAAAGGCCACAAGAGGTTAGGGGTCATCCATAAATGACGTCACGTTTTTTTTGACGATTTTACCCCCCCCATCTCCTCCGTCCCACATCGTCACAAAAAGCCAGACCCCCGACCCCACGTCTCACCTAAGCATACAACCCCCCGCCCCCCCCCCCCCCCAAAAAAAATGACAGTTGAATTTTTCTTTAAAAAATTGATAATTTTTCACTGTATTATTAAACCGTATTATTAAATAATGGCAACATGTAAACAATGGCATCTTTGAATTCAGAAATCTTGCGGCACAAATACGATCCCCACAAAAGAACCCCGTCAAATGGGATAGCAACAAATGGACCCCATCTTATAAGCTCCCAACATAAGGACTTTCGTATGTTAAACTCGCGACAAATAGGTTACCGCCATTTGGACTCCCGCCAAAAGGGCCTCAGTCAATTGGGTTCCCGTAGAGACAATGAGTCTCCCAGTGAAACAACCCCATTCAAAATGACCCCTGCCACTAGGACCCCTTCATCGATGATTTTGTCGGCAGGCCTTATTTTTACACACTTTTATCTAGTATGAGAAAATGGTATGTTTTTAAGAGTCGTCTAGTTTTGATTCCATGAAGCGAGTTGGTTACGGGCTGTTCCAACTCAGTGTGTGTGGACCGATGTCCGTGCGGTACATTATAGGTTATCAAAACAGCAAGTTGTTTCTCACATAGGCAAATTGTAAATCATTCATGTAAACTTCTGAGCTCGCGTTTAAAGAATAGGTCTTCATGGTTGTTAATAACACATTATCTACATTTCTAAAATTAGTGGTACTTTGCAGTTAAGAGCTTGATTAGCTTGTGAATTGCTATTGTTTCATGAATTTTTTTTTAAATTTTAGAATTTAAAAGAGATTGTGGTGGCAGTGGATACAATACTAAAGTGTATTATCTTATACTTAGAGTTGTCATAGGATTCATTTGTCTGGAGTCAATATGTCGAGAGTTTTGTGTGCAGTCATTTTTGTCGGGAGCCAATATATTGGAAGTCAATATGACGGGGGTGATTTGAAGGGAGAATATTATGTCGAGGCACTTTTGTCGGAGCTATTAATTATGACTGGGTAGTTTTGCCGGGGGCACTGATATAAATCTTTCATGATCTGGAGAAGGGGTCGCGGCAGTTGTTGCCAGTTTGGCCTACAAATGCAAAAAGTGCCTAGGGTCTACATATTCATTAAAGCTGCCCTGGCCTATCCTACAGGAGGGAGACTATGAGTCCACAGGCATTCAATTAGCCCAGTCAGGCCAGAGTTTACAAGCCACAATCTGATAGGAATGTTGACGAGAAAATTTTACTACTAACTGCAATGTTGTGGTGGGTATAACAGACCACTTTAAACTACCACCAAACAAACCATTTTAAAATACCACCACCAAACAGACCATTTTAAACTAACACCACCAAACAGACCATTTTAAAAACTACCCCAAACAAACAGACCATTTTAAACTACCACCACCAAACAGAGCATTTTTAACTACCACAAACAACAAGACATTTTAATTCATAAGGTACAAACAGACCATTTTAAAATAGTTGCAAAATATATTTTATTACATTTTATAAAAATAAGCATTTTAAAAACAGTTTTTTTCACAATAAGGATATTGCTTTAAAATATAAAAGCAAATAATATATATAATTAACATTAGTAGTTATTTTTAACTTCGCTTAGGTGTAAAAAAAATCGTATTTGCATTAAAAATTGGTGTACCAATTTAAAATCCAACTTGAATTAAAACATAAAATCATAATAAAATATAATATTTTATTTATGTTAATGTTTGAATTATCTAACCATTAGCCCTATATTGCAGACCAGCTAATTAAGGTTTAATTAAGGTTTGATTATGTCATAGGTGTGTTAGCCCACAACATAAAGTTGAACAAAAGTCTTTTTAAAAAAAATAATTTACACACAAAAAGATTTATCACACTGACTACTATAATAGCTACTGCACCATGTCATACAGATGTTTAACAAGAACACTCTCTAATTAACATAAATGGAGGCAAAGTTCACTTTAGTTAATTAAATTAATTTCAGTCCAGATAGTTTCTTGCAGCATTTACATGAATAAATTTAGGCCTAATCTAGTTCAGCACAGGGAAGGAGGTTGTTGTAGTAGGTTGGGTATAAGGAAGGAGGTTGTTGTTGTAAGTTGGGCAGAAGTAAAGAGGTTGTTGTAGATTGGGCACAAGGAAGCAGGTTGTTGTATTAGGTTGGGCAAAAAGGAGGTTGTGGTAGTAGGTTGGGCATAAGGAAGGATGTTGTTGTAGGTTGAGCAAAAAGGAGGTTGTAAGTTGGGCTAAAGAAATGAGGATGTTGTAGGTTGGGAACAATGGATGTTGTTGTAGGTTGGGGTCATGGATAAATTTATGCCAAATCTAGTTCTAGCTCAGAACAGGGAAGGAGGTTGTTGTAGGTTGGTGACTTGAATAAATTTATGCCAAATCTAGTTCTAGCTGAGCACAAGAAAGGAGGTTGTTGTTGTAGGTTGCTGAAATCTTCACTCTAACACCACCTGATATAGGAAAGGGAAGCGACCCAGTGATTGGTATACCGAACGGTGAGATGGCAAAGTTACCCTGAAAATAAAATTAGATCAATTAATTTTATATATATATATATATATATATATATATATATATATATATATATATATATATATATATATATATATATACATATATATATATACATATATATGTGTGTGATTTTCAGAATACATTGTTTACAACATATCTTTAAGTAATAATTTATTAATATAGTACAACGATCTATAAATTATATTTCCCTATTTATAGATAATGAAAACAATATAATTTAATATTTAGTATTGCTGACAATCACTACTTAAAAACTAGAAATTGTGAAATAAAAAAATGCAACAAAAGTGAAAGAAAAGTTGTGAAAAGACTGAACGAGATCACATTCCTGGGCTGGTTGACTTACTGCTGGAAAAGGACACTTGCAAGGGAGCCCAATCTTCTTGAACTCCGGCGGGCAGTCTGTGATGGCAGACAGCATGGTGCACAGGTCTGGGTAGTTGCAGGATCCAATATTGTCAATACAGGGCACCTTGACCCACACACCAAACACTTCCTTATCCACTTCAATGGAGGTCTGTTCAATATACAATTTCACATGTAACATGCATAAAAACACATCCATCTAATGTGTGGTGTCTACACTGAAAATTAGTTCTCAAGCGCAAGCATTCAGACAGCCAGGATTATAGACTAACTCAAAATAACAAGACATTAAAAATTTTGGATTCTTTTTTAGACTTGCCACAATGGCACCTAAAAAAATAATCACACACACACAAAGGATTTTTTTGTAAACCTCAAGTCCAAAAGAGAATGCAAATTTTTTAATGTCTATTTATTTTGATAACCCTTTCAGAAAATTCTTAAAAATAATTTAACAGACATTGCGAGGGAAAAGAGACTTAGTCTAAAAAAAATAAACTTTTGTGTAGAGTCAACACACTAAATATCTGTTTTGCTAATAACAATCTGAAATGGCCATTTGTAGACATGTGTAGTGTACAGCTTTAAAGATAAAGATAATTGAAGTCTTTTTTCAGACTGGCTCATAGTGTAAATCATGAAATGAAATCTTTCTAAGTCACATGACTTGAATAAGGCTAAGTCACATGACTTAAAATCTCTCTCAGAATGGCTTATAGTGTAACACATAAATTGAAGTTTTTCTCAATCTAGGTCACATGACTGAAAAACTTTCTTTGACTGGGTCAAACTGATTTGAATAGATATGGCCGACCTCCAAAAAATCTGACTGCACCATTGATGGTTGAATGTTGAATAGCGTGTAGAGTTCAGTTCAATAAATTATTGATTAAGATATGGTGTGTTGCATAAACACACAAAGCAGATGTCATGCTTGAGTTCACCCACTGTGGTATGGTGTGCTATGTTTAGTGGGGACCCACTGTGGTATGGTGTGCTGTGTTTAGTGGGTACCCACTGTGTTCTGGTGTGCTATGTTTAGTGGGGACCCACTGTGGTATGGTGTGCTATGTTTAGTATGTGTCCACAGTGGTATGGTGTGCTATGTTTAGTGGGGACCCACTGTGGTATGGTGTGCTATGTTTAGTGGGGACCCACTGTGGTATGGTGTGCTATGTTTAGTGGGGACCCACTGTGGTATGGTGTGCTATGTTTAGTGGGGATTCTCTGTGGTATGGTGTGCTATATTTAGTAGAGATCCACTAAGACTATGGTATAGTGTGCTGTGGCTAAGGTGACTGGGTCTGCCCCCAAAGATTCTCCCTTTTACCACACACCTTTAGCTGGGATCCAAATGCTGTCTTGATAAGAAGGTTCCCAGCGATGCTGATGTTCCCTGGGATTTTAATGGGGTCAGGCTTGACAGTTATGCCACTGGGAACCAGAATCTCAGTACTGGGGTCGGCACAATTCTTGAAGGAAAACGACTTGAGTCGACTGGACTTTTTCTGCAGAGATAAAACAAAGTGCACACATTCATAAGTAATTGGACTTATACTACAGAGAACCAATGGACATACTGACTTGAATATTTCAATTTATATTTACAACCTTTCACTAAGAACAAAAATAGATCTATAACTGAAAAGATATGTATCAATATATACTATTAAGGTTTTTAGAATCTTATGCTTACAGGTAAATTGCTTATGATAAAAATTAGGGTCACTTACCTGAATCTTGATGGTATCTGCTAGTTCAGACAACTGTTCAGTGGCCTTGTCTTTAAGGTCAGAAGTGACAAAACTGACCAGTGTTTTGATTTCATTGTGAGCTTTAAGCTCAAGCTCCCCAATAAAAGGCAAGATGTGGACAGAACTGACCGCAGTGGTCAGCAGTAGCAGAAGTAAAACCTTCATCGTGAGCTGATCAGCTGCTGTACGGTGTGTAACTGGTGTAGAGGGTGTGTGTAGGGTTAGACACAGTGTACAGAACGTAACACACACGATGTAGTAGGGCTTGGTCGCCAGTCACGTGATAAGAAATGTAAACACGTGTTGTAGGTAGCCACCAGTGATAAACTAGGTCATGTATACACCGATTCTTCTATGAACTATATTGCTAATATCTAGATCTATATAGATATTCTTGATCTATTGAGATAAACAAGTATGCGGGTCATGCAGCGGTCTACATTCCGAAATATTGTGACGTAGCCTATGTCACAAAATTTTATATTATGTCGGCCAACCCTTATGCTGTTTGTATCAGATTAAATGGAGTATTATAGAAGTAGCGCTGGTAGGGGAACATAAAGATCTGCGGGTGGCGTTGACGATATGTCGCGATCAGTAAACTAAATAAACCACCGTACCGTAAAGCTGAAAGAAAATTTTGTTGATGTCACTGGGCTGAGACCTACTTAAAATAAGACCAATGAAAGAGCTCGTGGATTTAACGACTGTACAAAAAAATAAAAGTCGCAGGAAAAAAGTCACAGAAAAAAAAATCACAAATGTGTGTTTGCATGGAATTTGTTAATACTTATAGGTATTAAATATTCAGAAAGTGTAGGGCCTAAATAAACTTACAATTAATTAAATTTAGGCATATTGTAAATATTTTAGATTTATGTGCGTAGGTTGTATACGTATAGTAATATTTGTAACACATGTAAAAATATTTAGAATAAGTATGCATTCTATTATGCATATAATATTCAATAGAATTCAATAGAATGTTCCAACCATCTCGTTTTTAATCGTGTTTTTAAAGTACTAACTTTTAAATTAGCGTGAAATGACATGAAGACCTTGTCTAGGTGACTGGATGTCTTCAATTCATCGCAACAACAGTTCAATAAAAGTACTGCATTGCCCACTTTTATCACGCTCATTACATCACAAAGCATAGGATTGAGACCAAAAGCCGACAAGGTAATAAGCTCAACATAGATGCAAAACGTCAACAATACACAATATGGTCGGACAAGGCGGAAAGTAAGGATTGAAGAAAAAAAACTCGATAAAAACAAACTGATTAAGTTGGAACATTATATTTTATTATATAAAATGTTACATGTATAACGCAATTCACGCCTATAAACTTGTTATTACTATCAGAAAATATTAGTGTTTATCCCCCCCCCCCCGTCTATAAGCCGCTGTAGTCAAATGTCACTATGTGATCTGTGACTGGAAACAGAGCCCCTTTGACAAAACAATGTGAGAATGTTTGATCTTTGTGTAACGAAGTAGCTAGACAGATTAAAACAACAGACAGGGGCGGTTGTTATCTGTTATTTAAACAAGCGTAATCAACCAATCTAATTAAGTTTTATCATGTGACAGATGTGCACTTTGTGTCGCCGAAAACACACTGTTCGTGTCAAGCTCTAGCATTGATAATATTTTCATCCCCAGTAATGAGCTTATTAATTACCTTTCTGACACTTTGTTAATTAAATTAAATCCAGGAGTCCGAACCCCAACTTAAAAACTTGATTATTTTATCAGGCTTAAAGTCCTGCAATTCTAAAATAAAACAATCTTTCTTTGTAATTTGACTCTGTGCAGCACAGACTGAATTCAGACAGACCTATTTAGTGATAGACACTGATCATTAGTGTAACCTTGAAACTTGTTCACTGTGTCCTAGTGACAGATTAATTACTTGTTTGTTTGTAAGCAAATACTTGATTGACCTGTACGGTAATGTAGGTTAATCAGTCAAACTTCAGCCCATATACACTCAGTCTAGTTGTATTTATGTAGGTTGTGTTTTAATTTTGTAAACACCTAGTTGCTAATCACACACTAGATAAGCTGAGTTGTGTTTATATAGTTGTGTTTATCTAGTAGTGTGTTGTAGGTTTGATTAGCGATAAACACACTGATGCTGAGCCGAAATTTTAGGCACTACAGCTAGCTCAGGTAGATTAGGTCATATGTCACCACCACATGTAGATTAGGTCATGCCACAACCACAGGTAGATTAGGTCAACTGTCACCACCCACCACCACAGGTAGATTCGGTCATTTGTCACCATTACAGGTAGATTAGGTCATATGTCACCACCACAGGTAGATTAGGTCATGTCACCACCACAGGTAGATTAGGTCATGTCACCACCACAGGTAGATTTGGTAATATGTCACCACCACAGGTAGATTTGGTCATCTCACCACCACAGGTAGATTAGGTCATGTCACCACCACAGGTAGATTAGGTCATATGTCACCACCACAGGTAGATTAGGTCATGTCACCACCACAGGGAGATTAGGTCAAATGTCACAACCACAGGTAGATGTCAAAATTACAAATAGATTTTACAGATACAGTTAAATGCAGGCATTAAAGCTGTAAGTCACCACTTCAGGTAAATGTCATCACCACACCAAATGTAGATTTCACATCTGCAGGTAAACTTTGAAAATCTGTAATCTGTTTCCAAAAATAAAGATCTGACTGTTGAGACCATCAGGGTTGAAAAAAAAAGATAAAGGGCAGCGAGTCTATCCATTGATTAAAAAAAATGGTGTCTGTGTGAATCAATCATTTTATCATAGCTCATTCATTTCTTCTTCTTCGTTCTTAATTTTAGTGTTGGAAGGGGTCCCCTCCAGCACAATAAAGGATACGTGTCAACTGGTTATGCGCCATTGACTCCGATTTCAGCCTGCTTTTCTTATTGGATTTGCCTCCATAGCCTTTGTGCAACCAAGGCAGCAGTTGTTTGATTTTGGAGTGGTCTCTCCTAGAAGAGTGGCTGTCCCCAGCTAACGAGCCTCATTTGCCCGAGGGTTCGAACTCGAGACTCATCGGTTTAGCAGCCATGAGCTCTATGACTCGACCATGCCGACCCCTGCTAATTCTTTAAATGTTTTAGAAACAACTAAGGATTACAACCAACCTTATAGCTATATAACAAACACGACTAATTGGAATGTTTAGATAATCCACTAAACGAAGTATAATCCAGCTCATTCGATTTTTAACACAGGGGAAATAACCAGCAAAATTAAAATATACTGCGTTTTGCATGAGTTGTCTACCTGCATCACGAAATTAATTAACGTGTCAACATTTTACTACAGCTTTCCCTCTATTTTGATTTTACAGTTATTGGAATTTAAAAAAAAAAAAGATTTTTACTAACTTCCCTGATTATGCTAACCCGAAAGTCGCGGGTTCGAATCTTCTTGTGTCTGCAGGACCTGTGAGAGTTAAGGGGATCGATAAAACACGGAAGCTCCACCAATTTTGTGAGGGATTACTTGACATGAGTAGACACAAATCAGTCGGTTTTCAGAAGCGAAAACGTCATAACAACACTACTTCCTTATTTCATTCGCAACCACTGACTGACGCCCACACCAACCGCTACACACCTTATTACCCTCCCTCACAACACAGCCGTTGTCACTCGACCAGTCGCTTCCACTGTATGTTACCCATGTTTTTTACCGAACAACGACATACACATCAACAAAACCAGCTAGACTCGACGCACTGGTACACACACACACACACAAACACACACACACACACGCACACACACACAGAGTTTAAGTATACCGTTCCACACAGAGGTGTAGTGAGGGGGGGTGCGGACCGCACCGGGTGACACCATTTAGGGGGGTGACACCAAGGCAAAAATAGCAAAATATATAGAGAAAAATGATAATTCCACTTAATTGAGTGATTAATTCGAGTGTTAAATAGTGTTTCAAGAGGTGCTCATCGAAAGTTTGAGGGGGTGGAGGTGCAAATCGAAAGTTTTAGAGGGTGGGGTGCTAATCGAAAATTGAAAGTTTGTCCCCGGGAAGGGTCGCTAAGACTCTGGGGGGGGGGGGGGGGGGGGGGGTGACACCATTAAGTGCATGCCGCATCGGGTGACACCCGACCTCGCTACGCCACTGGTTCCACATACAAACTTTTCACACATTTGACCCAGCTCAAATGGGTACCTGACTCACTTTGTGGAAAGTAAAGATGGGCGAGTCAGTGCCGATCATTCTATACCTCATACACCGAGTTCAAGAAACTTATGAACTCTACTTCATCTGCCATATAGATCGTTATACCTTAAAGGGGAACTTTATTGTACTGACTATGACCATGTGCTGAGTTCTCTCAAACGTTTTAGTTTGAATCTAGATCTAGATGATTCTGATTTAACTATCTCGCTAGTAAGTTGAGTTGTCTGGCCTCGACTTGTCATGCGCATGCGTGGATGTCTACAATTCTCGTCTAGACAGGCAGTTTATATCTGTATTGTTGGTGATGATGTGGCTGTGGCGGGTGCTGGCGTGTTGTTTATTTGTGGCTCACTGTGGTGGCTAAAACAAAAAGGGGGGGGGGGTGGCTGAGATGATTTATTGAGTATCCAGTAAAACAGTTCTATTTTCTTGACCATGTGTTGTTGGCAGGTCTGTTTAATTAATACAAAAACAGTTTAGTATTTTTAAAGTTAGAAAAATAAAACAAAATCTCGACTGTCAGTAGGCTTACAATGTTCGAGTGTTTTTGTAATATTTTTATTGTGAGCATGGTATTGATTGATACTTTTCGTTGTTTGTTGCAAAGTTTATTTTAAAAAATGTGAAGTCGTTTTTATGGTTTTGGTCAAACAGTTTTACGTTCATCTGCCCTCTGCCCATCTGCCCTCTGCCCATCTGCCCTCTGCCCATCCGTGTATTTCCTAAACAACAAGTCGGTGCCGTGTAGACGATCGAGGATGCCCAGAACACCGTAGTTAACGTTAAACCTGGGGACGGAAAAACACGTGAGGTTAAACCAATGGGCGAGATAAAAACGAGAGGTTAAACCTAGGAACGAGAGAACAAGTTATTATTAAGATACTTTTGTGTCAAATACAACGACACTCTGCTTTAAAGAGAAAGATGTCACAGTTTTCAAGTCAAAAATGACATTCGCGGTCAATTATTCTAGATCAATTTGCTTTGTTATTTAGTAAAGCAAATCTCTGTGCTAAAAACAGCACTGTCACATACACCACAGCGTGACAAGCGATGTGACAAAACATCGTCTAACCGTCTTGCTTTATGCTCACAAAAATAGAATAAATACATGTCACAAATTGTATTTCTCATCTAGGCCTAGATACATTGTATTCTACCACTTCCTGTTTCTCTTCAAAATGTCATTCTCTGGGGCGAAAATAATCTCAAATCGATACAATCGGATAAGAATGAAACCTAAAACACTGAATCTACCTGTCCGGTTTATCTAAGTCCCTGAAGTTTGATTTTTCAATTATAAATTATGGGCTAATGTAGACGGTGATTGCCGAAAGACTGAAAGCCTAAACCTAATTGTATTTAAATTGCTGTATCGATTACAGAAACTACAGACAGACGGCGTTACAGAAAGTGAAAGGAAATAAAAACGTGGGGGCGGGGGGAGGGGGGAGGCATAGAAATAAGAGAGAGAGAGAGAGAGAGAGAGAGAGAGAGAGAGAGAGAGAGACAGAGACAGAGACAGAGGGGGGGGGGGGGTGAAAGCGGGAGAAAGAGGGAAATACTAAAAAAGGTTAAAGGTCACTAAGCTAAGGGGTTACAAAAATAGCATGTGAGAAAAATGTGGGGGAAGTGATTGACAAAATCGATACTGACTTAAAGTCGATACTCACTTAAAGTGATGGAAATCGTGGAAATCGGGCGAGAGGAATATCGGGAATCGATACCCTCCATGGTCTACGGTGGTGGAGACAATAGCGATGCCCCAGAATAGCCAGGCGGTGGAGAGGTGCGAACCCATCAGGATGGGGCCCAGCCCCGGGGGTAGGAGGTTAGCGAAGATGTGCTCGACTGGATGGGCGTAAATGGACACCACCCCCACGGGCGCCGTCCACTCGTGGTGCTTCTTGTGGATGTGCTTGTACAGGCGTGGGTGGTGCAGCAGCCTGGGGGTGGGGTGGGGGGGGGGGCGTAGAACGTTAAAACATTAAAGTCATCATGTAACACATTGGACGTTTACAAAATGAATCTTTTACAGAGGCGTAGCAAGGGGGGCGGGGAGGGGGTACATATGTCTCCGGGCGCCGACCTTAGGGGGCGCCAAAATGGGTTTGAAAAAACAAATTAAAATCTCATTTTAGCTGCAGTTTTGCATTATAAATCTAAAAAATATATCGAGGTGGGGGGGGGGGGGGTGGGGGTGCAAATTGAAAGTTTAAGGGGGGTGCAAATTGAAAATTGAAAGGTTGTTCCCGAGGGGGCGCCAAATTAAAAGTGTGTCCCCCGGCGCCGGGAAGTGTCGCTACGCCTCTGTTCTTTTATACCATAATATAGCCAGGCCAAACCAAAGAAAACACATTGTACGATACAGGCCTATTACATTTTTAAAATTTAAAAAAAATTAAGCTCATATGAAATTTCGGTCTAATAATATCGTGATGTGATAATTAAACAAGGCATTGTGAATATATGCCATCTTTCATTATGGTGAAGTAATTAAATATCTGATCAAATATTCTAAAATATATCCCTGTACAGAAAAATGAGCTGAACTACACAACAAAACTGAAACTGATAGAAATTAATTATAGATAGCTAATGGCATGATGTAATTATTTTAATTACTTTTTAGCATAGAGATCAACACTAAACTAAAAAAAAAAAGAAACTCCGTCAATAATCTGACACAGGAGCACAGAGAACGTGACTGACGAACAAAGTCGTGAAATAAATAATGCATTGCCAGCATGCAGCAAACATCCAACCATCATCCATCAAAAGTGCAACATTCATCCATCGATTCCCCAACATTTTAAAATCAATAGTCCAAAAATGTCGTGAATCAACGGTCCAACATTTGATCCAACATTCGATCCAACATTTGATCCAACATTTGATCCAACATTTGATCCAACATTTGATCCAACATTTGATCCAACATTTGATCCAACATTTGATCCAACATTTGATCCAACATTTGATCCAACAATCCCTCAATATTCATCCCATGAAGTCCAACAATTATTCATGAATTGTTCAAAATTTGATTGACCCATCATTCACTCAACATTTAATTCACACACCATTCATCAACACTCGATTCATCAATTATTGACTAGTTTCATCCAACATTCACTTAACTTTTAATTCATCCATCATTCATCCAACATTTGATTCATCCATAATTCATCCAACATTCGATTTATCCATCATTCATCCAACATTTGATTTATCCATCATTCATCCAACATTTGATTTATCCAACATTCATCCAACATTTAATTTATCCATCATTCATCCAACATTTGATTTATCCATCATTCATCCAACATTTAATTTATCCATCATTCACTCAATATTTGTTCCATCCACCTTTCATCCAACATTTGATCCCTCCACCCTTCACTCAACCTTTAACCAACCCACCAGCCCCCGCCCCCCCCCCCCCCCCCTCATCCCACTGTCCGACACAACATGCCCATCTACCTGTGCGAATAATAAAAGCCGATTTCCTCGACCAAGACAAAGGCGATCAGATGGACTAAAATCTGGCTAGGTGACGGCAAGTCGTCTGCTGACGTCGAGCAGCCGCGCCACGTCATCGTGACGTAGATGAAGTAGAGAAAGGGAATCCCCACGACCGTCTGGTTGAACAGCGCGACCTTCACCGCCCGCTTCAAGTCTGATGGGTTCAGCTGTAACAGGGGGTCATGGGACAAAGGTCAAAGGTCACTTTCTTGAAAATCAAATAATAGAAAAATCAGACGTCACAAAACTGAAAACCAGACGTCACAAAATTGACATTTGGATGTCATAAGCTTGATAAAAACAATGGATGTCATAGTATGAAATCAGATGTCACAAATAGTTCACGTTAGATGTCAAGACAGTTGACAATAATCGTTTATTTTAACGTCCTATAAACGGTTTTAGTCTATAAACAAAGCCCCTAAATCAAATACATCTAAGTAGTAGGTTTAGAATTAACGTGGGATGGTTGGTTTGGGTTAGGTTTAGTTTCAAATAGTGTGATGTCACAGTTTTGCATTTAAAAATAAATGTTAGAAAAACTGAATTTTAACCTTTATTTCGCATTTTAGAAAACAAGATTTAAGAATGTAACAGAAATTGATGAAAATATTCTAAGTTGGCCGAGCTCATTTGACAACATTTTAGGGGGGGGGGGGGGGTTAGGCTGAAGTATGACGTCCTTTTAGGTGGAGGGGTCGGGCTTTTTGTGAAGATGTGTGACGAAGGGAAAGGGGGGAGGTAAAAAATCGTCTTTTATAGATAACACCTTAAGTGAAAGTGTGTATTGTGATCCTGTGTAGTGAGATGGTGAGACTTTTGTACACGTTTTTGTGAACGATTGGTGGGGTGAATGTGTTCAGACACGAGCGAGCGACTAAGTACTCACGACGATGCACATGCATTTAAGAAGGGGAAAGAGAGAGACAAACAGTGTGGACGTGTGGGTGTCCATGTTTTGGAATTCTGGGTAAAACCTACGGCATTGTTGCAACAAAATAATACAATACAAACAAACAAAAGAAACAAAACACACGAAGTCGATCATTACATAAATAACAATACAGCTGTCAGACAATGTTTACTTCGAGGTCGTATCGGCGCCCGCTTAACTTCATGCTTCACTGTAATATGTCAGGTGTGTGTCAGGTGTGTGTCAGGTGTGTGTCAGGTGTGTGTCAGGTGTGTGTCAGGTGTGTGTCAGGTGTGTGTCAGGTGTGTGTCAGGTGTGTGTCAGGTGTGTGTAAGGTGTGTGTCAGGTGTGTGTCAGTTGTGTGTCAGGTGTGTGTCATGTGTGTGTCAGGTGTGTGTCAGGTGTGTGTAAGGTGTGTGTCAGGTGTGTGTCAGTTGTGTGTCAGGTGTGTGTCATGTGTGTGTCAGGTGTGTGTAAGGTGTGTGTCAGGTGTGTGTCAGTTGTGTGTCAGGTGTGTGTCATGTGTGTGTCAGGTGTGTGTCAGTTGTGTGTCAGGTGTGTGTCAGGTGTGTGTCATGTGTGTGTCAGGTGTGTGTCAGTTGTGTGTCAGGTGTGTGTCATGTGTGTGTCATGTGTGTGTCAGGTGTGTGTCAGGTGTGTGTCAGTTGTGTGTCAGGTGTGTGTCATGTGTGTGTCAGGTGTGTGTCAGTTGTGTGTCAGGTGTGTGTCAGGTGTGTGTCATGTGTGTGTAAGGTGAGTGTCAGGTGTGTGTCAGGTGTGTGTGAGGTGAGTGTCAGGTGTGTGTCGGGTGTGTGTCAGGTGTGTGTCAGGTGTGTGTCGGGTGAGTTCCAGTGCCAGTCACGGTCGGTGCATTACACCCCATAATGCCTTGTGTCAGAAAAAGATGGATGTGACATGTTAAACCAACACAGATTTGTATCTTTTTAAACTCTAATGTCAAGTTACCCCTTGTTAACTTTGATTTATACACGTTTTTTTTTTAACTCGCTTCTTGTAGGTTTGGGTGAAATTTTGCAATCCATTTTTACTCAACTACCAAAACCTATTGTTTTCACAATATTTAACATTAGAGTCCGTTGACAATGCTGTTTGTTGTACATCTTGACCTCTTTAAATTGAAACACGATTTTAAAAATGTAATTAAAGAAAGGTATACTCAGAATCGACGGCGTGGCCTAGAGGTAGTGTTACACTAACCGTAAGTCTTTAGTTCAAATCCGGGTTCAAGGCAATAGAACGTCCCTGAGTCAACCCATCTCTAATGGGTACATAACTCACGTTAGGGAAAGTAAAGCCTGGGCAAAGTGCTGGCCACACTACCCCTTCATACGCCGAGGTCACTGAAACAGATGAACTCTACTTCATCTGCCCCATGTGTCTTGAACACGAACAGGAAAAGATAATGATGTTAAACAACATTAAAAAGTAAAAGTTGTCTATGCTTTCTGATTTCGTTTTCGCCAAGTATTTTAGTTTGAAAATTCTTGGTCGTGGTCCTATTTTTTTAAACTAAAAGAAGGGCGAGTAACAGGCTGGTTATGGGTGATTGCTTCCTCAGAGACCTGGTTAATCGGTTATGGGTGACTGCTTCGTCTGTCACTCGACTGGTTATGGGTGAGTAGTTAACCTTTAACCTGACCGGTTATGGGTGAGTGGTTCGTCTGTTACCTGACTGGTTATGGGTGAGTGGTTCGTCTGTTACCTGACTGGTTATGGGTGAGTGGTTCGTCTGTTACCTGACTAGCTATGGGTGAGTGGTTCGTCTGTTACCTGACTGGTTATGGGTGAGTGGTTCGTCTGTTACCTGTCTGGTTATGGGTGAGTGGTTCGTCTGTTACCTGGCCGGTTATGGGTGAGTGGTTCGTCTGTTACCTGACTGGTTATGGGTGAGTGGTTCGTCTGTTACCTGACTGGTTATGGGTGAGTGGTTCGTCTGTTACCTGACTAGCTATGGGTGAGTGGTTCGTCTGTTACCTGACTGGTTATGGGTGAGTGGTTCGTCTGTTACCTGTCTGGTTATGGGTGAGTGGTTCGTCTGTTACCTGGCCGGTTATGGGTGAGTGGTTCGTCGGTTACCTGACTGGTTATTGGTGAGTGGTTCGTCTGTTACCTGGCCGGTTATGGGTGAGTGGTTCGTCTGTTACCTGACTGGTTATGGGTGAGTGGTTCGTCTGTTACCTGTCTGGTTATGGGTGAGTGGTTCGTCTGTTACCTGGCCGGTTATGGGTGAGTGGTTCGTCTGTTACCTGACTGGTTATGGGTGAGTGGTTCGTCTGTTACCTGACTGGTTATGGGTGAGTGGTTCGTCTGTTACCTGACTGGTTATGGGTGAGTGGTTCGTCTGTTACCTGGCCGGTTATGGGTGAGTGGTTCGTCTGTTACCTGACTGGTTATGGGTGAGTGGTTCGTCTGTTACCTGTCTGATTATGGGTGAGTGGTTCGTCTGTCACCTGTCTGGTTATGGGTGAGTGGTTCGTCTGTCACCTGTCTGGTTATGGGTGAGTGGTTCGTCTGTCACCTGTCTGGTTATGGGTGAGTGGTTCGTCTGTCACCTGTCTGGTTATGGGTGAGTGGTTCGTCTGTCACCTGACTGGTTATGGGTGGTTAACCTTTGGCCGGTTATGGGTGAGTGGTTAACCTTTAACCTGGCTGGTTATGGGTGAGTGGTTCGTCTGTCACCTGTCTGGTTATGGGTGAGTGGTTCACCTGTCACCTAACTCTACTTACCGGACAGTTTTTGTCTTTCTGTATTTTATATTTCAAAAAGTAAGATGGCTTCCCTGTGAGGTCAAGGACGATCAGGAACAAGTTCGACAACCAAAACACGCAGAAGGTGAATACAAAGGAACCTGTGTAAGCAGACGATTAGGTAAGTAGTAAACATCCATCTACATTCTACAACATACATGTTAGAAATAAAACAGCCCACCTACAACATACAGGTAAGTAGCAAACATCCATCTACAACATACAGGTAAGAATTAACAGCCCACCTACAACATGCAGGTAAGAACTAAACAGCACTACTAAAACATACAGATAGTAACTAAACAGCCCACCTACAAAATACAGGTAAGAACTAAGCTACAACATACTACAGGTAAGAACTAAACAGCCCACCTACAACATACAGGTAAGAACTAAACAGCCCACCTACAACATACAGGTAAGAACTAAACAGCCGACCTACAACATACAGGTAAGAACTAAAGCAGCCCACCAACAACATACAAGTAAGAACTAAAACAGCCCACCTACAACATACAGGTAAACAGCCCACCTACAACATACAGGTAAGAACTAAACAGCACTACTAAAACATACAGATAGTAACTAAACAGCCCACCTACAAAATACAGGTAAGAACTAAGCTACAACATACTACAGGTAAGAACTAAACAGCCCACCTACAACATACAGGTAAGAACTAAACAGCCGACCTACAACATACAGGTAAGAACTAAAGCAGCCCACCAACAACATACAAGTAAGAACTAAAACAGCCCACCTACAACATACAGGTAAACAGCCCACCTACAACATACAGGTAAGAACTAAAACAGCCCACCTACAACATACAGGTAAACAGCCCACCTACAACATACAGGTAAGAACTAAAACAGCCCACCTACAACATACAGGTAAACAGCCCACCTACAACATACAGGTAAGAACTAAAACAGCCCACCTACAACATACAGGTAAACAGCCCATCTACAACATACAGGCAAGAACTAAAAAAGCCCACCTACAACATACAGGTAAGAACTAAAACAGCCCACCTACAACATACAGGTGAAGGTCACTGTGATTAAAGGTGAGAGTCACCAGCCCCCACAAGTGACGTAGCCAGTCAGCTGACGCAATCCTGAGTTGTTGCACGTGCCTGGCGCGAGAGAAAGTTAAAATTAAACATGACCCGAACACTAATTAGTAATTAATGATCTGACGGCACCGCTCTAGACATTCGGTGGGTGAGCCCCCCCCCCACCTCCCCCCCCCAAGCACCAATGAGAACGGGAGCTACCCAAGCACCAATGAGAACTAACACGGTTTAGTTTGAAATGAATGTATCATTCGATTAGCGCGGGAGTGTTTCACAGGTGCTTGGGCTGTTGCCTACAACTCTCAACCGATATAGCTCTGTTTAACTATCGGCACAGCTGGCTTTAGCTCAGTCTAGCTGATTTAAGCTCAGTCAAGCTGACTCCAGCACAGTCTAGCTGGCTTTAGCTCAGTCTAGCTGGCTTTACCTCAGTCAAGCTGACTACAGCTCAGTCTAGCTGACTTAAGCTCAGTCTAGCTGACTAAATCTCAGTCTAGCTGACTTAAGCTCCGTCTAGCTGGCTTTAGCTCAGTCTAGCTGACTTAATCTCAGTCTAGCTGACTTAAGCTCAGTCTAGCTGACTTAAGCTCAGTCTAGCTGGCTTCAGCTCAGTCTAGCTGACTTAAGCTCAGTCTAGCTGACTTTAGCTCCGTCTAGCTGGCTTTAGCTCAGTCTAGCTGACTTCAGCTCAGTCTACCTGACCTTAGCTCAGTTCAGCTGACTTCAGCTCAGTCTACTCAAGTTAAAATCTTCCTACCTCTCATATACGTTACATATCACCAGGTAAATCACATATCCAACAGCAGAGAGAAGAAAAATGTGTTTTAGTTTGTCTTTCATTTGGTTCAGTCGATCAACAGCCATGGTGAAAGGTTGGACCGGTTGTTGATGCGTTGAAGTGAGTGTTGATACGACCAGTTCTTGATGTGTTCAGATGTTGATACGAACAGTTGTTGATGTGTTCAGGTGTTGATACGAGCAGCTGTTGATATGTTGAAATGTTGAAACGTCCAATTGCTGTTACACACTAAAGTTGATAAGGCCTACTGTTGATACGATCAATTATTGATACAATATCAACACAAAGTTGGTCTTGAGTTGATCAACGTTGATCAAGTGTTGATACAACTGTTGGATGAAATACAATGTGTTGATACAGACAATAAATGCTGCCAACAGGTGTTGGTACGACTAAGTATCGATTGTTTACGTTACATATTGTGTTACAGATCAGTCTGATCGATGTATCGATAACGCCAGACGTACATCTAATATCAGCTGTGTATGTAGGGCGTTAGTTCACCATGTGACGTGATAGATTACGTGTGACACAAAAGATAATTTCTGACATACCAGTACTGTACGTGAGGATTCATCCGTCTTTATATTTGTTCTGCAACTTATCCCAGAAACATGTGCCAGTTAATATTTGTCTTGTTTTAGCTTTTGTTCTTTAACTTATTTTGTTTTCCTAACATGTTCCCTTGTATTTGTTCTGCAACATATCCCAGAAACATGTGCCAGTTAATATTTGTCTTGTTTCAGCTTTTATTACCTAACGTATTTTGTTTTTGTAACATGTTCCCTGTTCAACATGTTGCCGAGTTTGTTCCCTAGCATGTAACTTTGTTTTTCAATATTTGACAAGTAACAGTGCTTGTTTTGCAACATGTGCCTGTTTATGTTGTACCCTTGACAGTGTTATCTACATATAGTATGTGTCAGTTTGAATTGTTTTGAGGCTATCAGATGGCGGTGTAAGAGATTTACAGATATCCCAGTATCTGAGAAATGTACGTAAAGATGGTGAATGCGATAGCTTATAACAGATAAACGTTACCTCCGGATTGTGAAACTATGACGTTTGGTGTATCTGTGAAGTTTTGTAATGTTAACTGTAAAGGTGTAGGGAGGGGGAGAAAATGGGAGTTATCCACGAGAAAAAGTATCGAGATCCCTGGAGCTTCTAACATCTGTAGCGATGTGGATAGCAGGTTATCCAGTGGATGGTTGATAGGGGAGAAGTGGATGTTAAACACACAGTTGCATTAACCTTTGTACATAGAGAGATCTCAGTGTAATCAGATGAGGGGTCGGGGTCTGGGAGCCACAACTCGACTTCACACATCACACATCACACATCACACATCACACACCACACACCACACACCACACATCACACACCACACATCACGCATCACACTTCACGCATCACACATCACACACCACACATCACACATCACACATCACACCACACATCACACATTACACACATCACACCACACATCACACATCACACCACACATCACACATCACACATCACACACCACACATCACACACCACACACCACACATCACACATCACACATCACACACATCACACCACACATCACACCACACATCACACACCACACATCACACATTACACACATCACACCACACATCACACATCACACATCACACACCACACATCACACACCACACATCACACACCACACATCACACACCACACATCACACACCACACCCATTTTTGACATCTCTGGAACTACCACTCTGGTCCCAACAATTCCAGCAACTTTTTAGTTCACCAAGTTTTATTTCTGTTGAGTGTTATTTGTGCGGGTCTTGAGTTGGAGAAGACAAATCTTTTCCATTTTATACACATAGGCCTATAATTTTTATACACATAGGCCTATAATTTTATACACATAGGCCTATAACTTTTATACACATAGGCCTATAATTTTTTTATACACATAGGCCTATAATTTTTATACACATAGGCCTATAATTTTTATACACATAGTCCTATAAGTTGTATACATACAGGCCTATATTTAAAAAAAAAACTATATGAGCATTAATTAAATAACAACAATGATATTTTTTACTTTTGAAATTTTAGAATTCCGCTTTAGTGGAAAGTTAATTTTCGTTGAGTAAAAAATGTAAGCGAAGTGTATACGAATGTAAATGAAGTGTATAAGAATGTAAGCGAAGTGTATAAAAATGTAAGCAAGAGTATAAAAATAAGCGAAGTCTATAAGAATGTAAGTGAAGTGTATAATAATGTAAGCAACCATGCCGGACTTGATAATGTTTACATGTTCTACGAAGGAGTAACGGTATATACATTCTCTATGCCCTATGCCAGGGGTCGGCAACCTGCGGCTCTCCAGCACCTTAAACAAATACTAATAATCTTAATAAAAAAATAAAACATTTGAAATAAAAAAAATGTTAGTGGCTCTTTAAAATCAGGGAAATTTTGAAAATTGTAACTTTTGGCTCTTCCGCTTCAAAAGGTTGCCGACCCCTGCCCTATGCGGTCACATTTAGGACACATTAGGGCGTTTCTTTGTGTTATTTTCCGACATTTATCCTCGGAATAACAATAACATTGGCCGTCCGATCAGATTGGTATACATCAGGGGTCGGCAACCTTTTGAAGCGGATGAGCCAAAAGTTACAATTTTCAAATTTTCCCTGGTTTTAAAGAGCCACTAACATTTTTTTTATTTCAAATATTTTTTTTTTATTAAGATTATTAGTATTTGTTCAAGGAGCTGGAGAGCCGCATCTTGATATCAAAAGAGCCGCATGCGGCTCGCGAGCCGCAGGTTGCCGACCCCTGGTATACATTGATACAATAATTAAAATGAGGTGTATGCTAATTTTTTGTTTAATTTAATATTAGCTTTTTTTAAAAAACAAATCTTATAATGAAGCGCCCCAACCATTATTACATGTGAATACACATTCAAATATATAACAATGACTTATTTAACTTGGCTAATGGTTTTCTACCTAGATTGGAAATAAATGCTAATGTACAGCTTTATAAAGTTTAAAATAAACATAAGTTTGTATTCAACTTTTAAAGAAATTAGTCATATAATGATAGATAATGAGCCACATGTTATATTTTTAACATTAAAATTCTGCTGTTAATCATTTTGGAATAATAGTATTAGGTTTTCTCCCTTGATTGTCTAAAATTATAGATGGGAATTAGCTAACAGGCTAACATTTTTATGGCGGATTTGTTTTATTATAAACACATTCACGAAAACGCACATACACAGACACGTACAGGGCCGGCGCTACCTATAAGGCGAAAGTTTGAGGTGGGGGTTGCAGATCGAAAGTTTGTCCCCGGGGGCGCGAAAAAAATTGCGAGTTGGGGGGGGGGGGGGGGCGCTTTTAATAAGTTTTGCCTAGGGCGCTAAATAACCTGGCGCCGGCATTGGACACATATACAATTATATAGGGCGCGGGTGCGTGTACATTAACTTATATTATGCGTATGCCATTTGCCTATATGTGTGTGTATTCGAACGTGTTTGTATGTGTGTGATTATTTAGCTTTGTTTAAAGAACACCGGGCCCTCCTCAGTAGGATAAAATATTTAATAAAATAAAATCCCCCTCCCCTAGTCACATTGCGGCGCCATTTAAAATCTCAGGGCGGCCAGTTGTCTTTAGTGACGCGTCAGGCTTGTCCATGCAGCTAACTTAAATCACCCCTTAACTAAGACTTGACTACCTAGTTTGACCAGATGCGTAGCGAGAGGGGGGAGCGGGGGTAAATATTTGGGTTGGAAAAACAAATTAAACTCTCATTTTAGCTGCAGTTTTGCATTATAAATATAAAAAAATATAAGGGGGAGGGGAGCGCCAAATTGAAAATTTGTACCAGGGCGCCGGGAAGGGTCGCTACGCCTCTGAGTTTAACTCTACCCATCTCTCGCCGAGATAACAAAACACACCGCCCAGCGCCTAAAGCTCAGCGACTCACCAAAACAAACACAACACGACAGTCGATCTTATCATTTAACTCACTGAGTGATTGCTCGTTTCAGTCTCCGTTGCAGGGGTAGATTACTATCAAGGGGCAGATAACTCACTTTAAAAATGGCATGTTCTAAGAGTTATCTTTGTAAAACAACGGTGGATAAATACAGAAACAGGACATGAGCCTTCTCTTGTTTCTGTCCATCCATTACTCTCTAAAGCACACGAAACTCACGTGTATAATTGTGTCAGCGGAATGATGCACATTAGGTTAAATTGTGTCTAATGAATGTGTCTGGGTTTTTTTTCTTTGAAGTGGGTGAATTTGAAAGGGGTATTTTTAAATTTTTAAAGTGACCTTGAAATTCAGCTAAAAAACAGCGGTTGTAAGAAATTTAAAAGTTCTTATTTAAGTTTTTTTTTTTTAAATGTATCTACACGAATGACATCTATATATATAATTCTCTTCTGGGATCAGTTAGAAAACAAGCTGCAAGCGCCTCCTTGCAGTCCCCTCTCTTTCTCTCTATCGCTATCACTACCACCCCCCACCCCACCCCAACATTGTCTGGTGAGCGGTGTTCACTCTAAATTTTTACAAAGCTAAATGTTTACAAATCGAAGAGCCGTACAGCCGGGTTTCTATTAGGGGCAGATAATTTAGTTCGATTTTAAACTTACAGGAGGTAACTAAGAAATAACTAAGAGGAGGCTGCTTTCACGGGGGGGGGGGGGGTGTAGGGTCGGGGTTAGGGGAAAGTGGGGGGGGGGGGGTTAGTGTTTTAAAGCAAATATTTTCAGTGGCAGCATTGGTACTGTCGAATTTACAAATTATGAATTACTGAAAAGTAGAAAATAAAACAACTAAATAACGGCGTATGATACGCCGCGGGTCAGCTCGTTTCATATATTTTTACACGACTAACATTTCATATATTTTTATACGACTGATATTTGATACATTTTCTGAAGACATCTATATCAGTTTGACCAAGCGACAAAACTAATTCGTTTGAACATGAATATAACTGGCTCCCATCTGCAAGGATAAATAATCCACTGTTCCTAACGACAGGTGGTACCACTGAGCAAG